TATAGCAGGCGAGGTAGTTAACATCTCCTAGCCACCGTGATGATTATGAGAGAGAGAGACACGCACACTCCAAATATACAGCAGGCGTCAGGGTCTAATCCACGACCTCCTGTATACCAGGCGAGGTAGGTAACATCTCCTACCCACCGTGATGATGATGAGAGAGAGACACGCAAACACCAAATATACAGCAGCAGGCGTCAGGGTCTAATCCACGACCTCCTGTATACCAGGCGAGGTAGTTAACATCTCCTAGCCACCGTGATGATGATGAGAGAGAGACAGGCAAACTCCAAATATACAGCAGCAGGCGTCAGGGTCTAATCCACGACCTCCTGTATACCAGGCGAGGTAGTTAACATCTCCTAGCCACCGTGATGATGATGAGAGAGAGAGACACGCAAACTCCAAATATACAGCAGGCGTCAGGGTCTAATCCACGACCTCCTGTATAGCAGGCGAGGTAGTTAACATCTCCTAGCCACGGTGATGATGATGAGAGAGAGACACGCAAACTCCAAATATACAGCAGCAGGCGTCAGAGTCTAATCCACGACCTCCTGTATAGCAGGCGAGGTAGTTAACATCTCCTAGCCACCGTGATGATGAGAGAGAGAGACACGCAAACTCCAAATATACAGCAGCAGGCGTCAGGGTCTAATCCACGACCTCCTGTATACCAGGCGAGGTAGTTAACATCTCCTAGCCACCGTGATGATGATGAGAGAGAGAGACACGCAAACTCCAAATATACAGCAGGCGTCAGGGTCTAATCCACGACCTCCTGTATAGCAGGCGAGGTAGTTAACATCTCCTAGCCACCGTGATGATGAGAGAGAGAGACACGCAAACTCCAAATATACAGCAGCAGGCGTCAGGGTCTAATCCACAACCTCCTGTATAGCAGGCGAGGTAGTTAACATCTCCTAGCCACCGTGATGATGATGAGAGAGAGACACGCAAACTCCAAATATACAGCAGCAGGCGTCAGGGTCTAATCCACGACCTCCTGTATAGCAGGCGAGGTAGTTAACATCTCCTAGCCACCGTGATGATGATGAGAGAGAGACACGCAAACTCCAAATATACAGCAGCAGGCGTCAGGGTCTAATCCACGACCTCCTGTATAGCAGGCGAGGTAGTTAACATCTCCTAGACACCGTGATGATGATGAGAGAGAGACACGCAAACTCCAAATATACAGCAGCAGGCGTCAGAGTCTAATCCACGACCTCCTGTATAGCAGGCGAGGTAGTTAACATCTCCTAGCCACCGTGATGATGATGAGAGAGAGACACGCAAACTCCAAATATACAGCAGCAGGCGTCAGAGTCTAATCCACGACCTCCTGTATAGCAGGCGAGGTAGTTAACATCTCCTAGCCACCGTGATGATGATGAGAGAGACACGCAAACTCCAAATATACATCGGCAGGCGTCAGAGTCTAATCCACGACCTCCTGTATAGCAGGCGAGGTAGTTAACATCTCCTAGCCACCGTGATGATGATGAGAGAGAGACACGCAAACTCCAAATATACATCGGCAGGCGTCAGAGTCTAATCCACGACCTCCTGTATAGCAGGCGAGGTAGTTAACATCTCCTAGCCACCGTGATGATGATGAGAGAGAGACACGCAAACTCCAAATATACAGCAGCAGGCGTCAGGGTCTAATCCACGACCTCTGTATACCAGGCGAGGTAGTTAACATCTCCTAGCCACCGTGATGATGATGAAAGAGAGACACGCAAACTCCAAATATACAGCAGCAGGCGTCAGGGTCTAATCCACGACCTCCTGTATAGCAGGCGAGGTAGTTAACCACTCCTAGCCACCGTGATGATGATGAGAGACACGCAAACTCCAAATATACAGCAGCAGGCGTCAGGGTCTAACCCACGACCTCCTGTGTACCAGGCGAGGTAGTTAACATCTCCTAGCCACCGTGATGATGATGAGAGAAAGACACGCAAACTCCAAATAAACAGCAGCAGGCGTCAGGGTCTAATCCACGACCTCCTGTATACCAGGCGAGGTAGTTAACATCTCCTACGCACCGTGATGATGATGAGAGAGAGACACGCAAACACCAAATATACAGCAGCAGGCGTCAGGGTCTAATCCACGACCTCCTGTATACCAGGCGAGGTAGTTAACATCTCCTAGCCACCGTGATGATGATGAGAGAGAGACAGGCAAACTCCAAATATACAGCAGCAGGCGTCAGGGTCTAATCCACGACGTCCTGTATACCAGGCGAGGTAGTTAACATCTCCTAACCACCGTGATGATGATGAGAGAGAGAGACACGCAAACTCCAAATATACAGCAGGCGTCAGGGTCTAATCCACGACCTCCTGTATAGCAGGCGAGGTAGTTAACATCTCCTAGCCACCGTGATGATGATGAGAGAGAGACACGCAAACTCCAAATATACAGCAGCAGGCGTCAGAGTCTAATCCACGACCTCCTGTATAGCAGGCGAGGTAGTTAACATCTCCTAGCCACCGTGATGATGAGAGAGAGAGACACGCAAACTCCAAATATACAGCAGCAGGCGTCAGGGTCTAATCCACGACCTCCTGTATAGCAGGCGAGGTAGTTAACATCTCCTAGCCACCGTGATGATGATGAGAGAGAGACACGCAAACTCCAAATATACAGCAGCAGGCGTCAGGGTCTAATCCACGACCTCCTGTATAGCAGGCGAGGTAGTTAACATCTTCTAGCCACCGTGATGATGATGAGAGAGAGACACGCAAACTCCAAATATACAGCAGCAGGCGTCAGGGTCTAATCCACGACCTCCTGTATAGCAGGCGAGGTAGTTAACATCTCCTAGCCACCGTGATGATGATGAGAGAGAGACACGCAAACTCCAAATATACAGCAGCAGGCGTCAGAGTCTAATCCACGACCTCCTGTATAGCAGGCGAGGTAGTTAACATCTCCTAGCCACCGTGATGATGATGAGAGAGAGACACGCAAACTCCAAATATACAGCAGCAGGCGTCAGAGTCTAATCCACGACCTCCTGTATAGCAGGCGAGGTAGTTAACATCTCCTAGCCACCGTGATGATGATGAGAGAGACACGCAAACTCCAAATATACATCGGCAGGCGTCAGAGTCTAATCCACGACCTCCTGTATAGCAGGCGAGGTAGTTAACATCTCCTAGCCACCGTGATGATGATGAGAGAGAGACACGCAAACTCCAAATATACATCGGCAGGCGTCAGAGTCTAATCCACGACCTCCTGTATAGCAGGCGAGGTAGTTAACATCTCCTAGCCACCGTGATGATGATGAGAGAGAGACACGCAAACTCCAAATATACAGCAGCAGGCGTCAGGGTCTAATCCACGACCTCTGTATACCAGGCGAGGTAGTTAACATCTCCTAGCCACCGTGATGATGATGAAAGAGAGACACGCAAACTCCAAATATACAGCAGCAGGCGTCAGGGTCTAACTCACAACCTCCTGTATACCAGGCGAGGTAATTCACATCTCCTAGCCACCGTGATGATGATGAGAGACATGTACACTCCAAATATACAGCAGCAGGCGTCAGGGTCTATCTCACGACCTCCTGTATACCAGGTGAGGTAGTCAACATCTCCTAGCCACCATGATGATGATGAGAGAAAGACACGCAAACTCCAAATAAACAGCAGCAGGCGTCAGGGTCTAATCCACGACCTCCTGTATACCAGGCGAGGTAGTTAACATCTCCTAGCCACCGTGATGATGATGAGAGAGAGACACGCAAACTCCAAATATACAGCAGCAGGCGTCAGGGACTAATCCACGACCTCCTGTACACCAGGCGAGGTAGTTAACATGGTGTGTCCCGCCCAGGCCACAATGGTTAAGGCTCAGGCGAGAACGGCAGACCAAGCAGGGGCAGTGCGCCCGAGGGGACGTCCGCCGCGGAGATGGAGCGATGGGGATCGGCTCGTGGAGAGCCCCCGGGGGGTTGTTGCATCGTGCGACAGCGGAGTATGTAGTGGATAGAGCACGGCCGATGACGGATCGCACGTCATTTTGTATGCGTGGTGCGTTGGTATGTTGTTGCGCGTGTGCGCGTGTGCACGTGTGTGCGCGTGCGTGTGTGCGTGTGCACGTGTGTGCGCGTGCGTGTGTGGAAGCGGTCTCGTGGCGGTTAACGCGCGTCGCCACGAATCCGGCGACCTGAGTTCGATTCCCGCTCACGGCCAACATCAGTGACTCCTCTAGGTCGACTAAGCCTCGAATGAGAGACCCAGTGTGGTGTGTAAATTGTCACCAAGAGAGAGACAAAAGCGGCCGGGCGTGCTGCTGGCCACCCACCCCCTCGTGTGCCGTTCGGGCCTTCACTCGATAACATAACAGTCTGTTAAGGCTATCGGGGGGATCTTTACGTCACGTGTTCCTGCATGTATGAACATATGACGTACGCTACGTGTGCATGCGTGCCCGTGTGCACGGTTCGCGTTTTCACGTGAGTGTACTGTTGTAGGAAGGGCCCTTCTCATGACACAGCTGGTGTCTCGGTGGTAAAGGCGCAGCCCTGCAATTGCCAGCTCACGCCCACCGCTGGCGGAAGCTCCAGAGAGCCCCTCTAGAGGGCAATCGGTCGAAACGCTCCCACGCTGGCAGGACGTCTCGGGGGGGGATGTTCTTACCCACGCTTGACCCCACCACACGTGACCTGCCGATCGAGTTAACTGCGGTTGAACCCACCCATGACGAGCTGGAGTGGTGGACAGAGGCGGTGCGGTGGGTGGGGGGGGTGGGTTTAAGAAAGTCGCTCCCAGTGTTTCAGCTGCTGTGCCGGGAGGTTGAATCGAACCGGCGCTCTCACCGTGACACTGCCGCTGTGGCATCGTGCCCGACGGAGTACGCGCGTGCGTTGAACTTCTATCGCACCGCACCGTGCTCGATGGGAAGTGCGGATGACGAGTGTGAAATAGGTGCACGAATGAAATATTAAATTGATTCATGGATAAGTCATCAACAATACAACCTCAGGCATCGGTTTATTGATGAAGTTCGCACTTTATAGAATAAAGGGGGGGGGGGGGCATCTTGTAGCCTTATAACCGGTGATATTCTCCAAGTATTCTTGGATGTTGGGCCTTCAAAAGTGAACATCAAATGCCATCAACTCATGCAACAAAGTGGCTTTGAATATGGACAGAGTTAATTTCGTTTCTCCCCCTCGCATTTTTAGTTTTTTTTTTCCAACGTGACCCAAAACAATTGCAGCTACTCCGTTTTCTGATAAAATAATAAAAAGTAAATATCAACAATAATAATACAGGTCTCATTAAATTGTACATTTATACTCGGGGAGTCTCTGAACAGTCCTCTCGATCCACTGGCATCGAAATCTCTCCGTCTGTGGACGCCACCGCTATTCCACACGAGCCACATCGTTTGATCGACGTCTTCTCCCCAACCATTATATTAACCTCTCTCTTGATTTCAACGGCGCTTTGTCCACCCGACCGCCGCCGCCCGCCCACCCGCCAGCGCTATCCAACTTGCAGGCGAAGTGCAAAACGCATCCCCGGGCCAGTCGCGTCCCACGAAACTAACGGCGGTGGCGGCGGCGGCGAGACCACGAGTCGCTCCGCGGTTCACCCAGCCCGGGGGGGATGAGACGAAAAAAAAATAAAATCCCGGCCAGGAAACTATCTTCCGTTCATGATGATCACCGACGTCCCGTTGAGCTGCAGGTGTCCGTGGTGGCCGTGATGAATCCCGGCGGCGTCGAAGCCCGTCCTCTCGCCGTACCCCGACAGCGAGAACCCTCCGGCCTTCCCGTCCGCCGCACCGCCGCCCCCGCCGGCGAGGGTCCCGGGGGCGCCGCCCGCGACGATGCCGGCGGCGCCGTAGCAGGCGTGCCTCGAGGCGGCGCCGTAGCCCGAGTAGGCGCAGGGGGAATGCTCCGCTTCCCCCGCGCCCGCCGCGACGTCGGCCGGCGAGCCGCGGTCGTGCCGGGCGGCCGCGTCGCCGGGCCCGCCGCGGTGGAACCGCTCGCGGAGCTCCGGCGGCGAGCCGTGGTGGTCGGCGTCGCCCGCCGACCCCTCGTACGCCGCCGGCTTGAAGTCGCGGGCGTAGAGGCCGCCCGCCGCGGCCGCTGCCTTGCCGTAGGCGAGCGTCTGCGGAGGGGAGTGGGTGGACGGTTGGATTCGCGAGTAGTCCAGCACGGTTTGCGAGGAGCTGTGCTGTTGCTGCTGCTGATGGTGGTGATGGTTCTGCTGTTGTTGTTGTTGCTGGTGGTGGTGATGCCTTTGTGCCTGTTGTTGCTGCTGCTGTTGATGATGATGATGGTTCGTGGGCGGTGAACAGCTGGCGTAGGTATTGCCATTACCGCCACCGCCGCCACCTCCTCCGTGAGATCCCTCAAGCGACGACGTCGATGACGGGCTCGGGAATTTGGCGACAGACGAAGACGTCTTCTTGGAAGGAGCCAGACGCCTCTGCTCCTCTTCCTTAATCATCTGTTGCGTCGCTTGGATGAGTGATTCAATGCGACTCGGTTGCTGCTGCTGATGCTGCTGCTGCTGATGATGATACACCTCGCTCGTGTAATCGTCCGCCAAGCTGAGCCCAGCGTGGTCCACCCCACGCCACCCGTTGCTTCCTGTAACCACCAGCACGATTGCGCGACGAGTTAAGATACGTGTTGGAATCAGGATCTCCACTGAGACTGGTGGAAGCCGATGAACTACGTTAGGGGAGGGCAGGGGGCATCAAAATATCTGGCCCGGTGGCTCAGCGTAAGAGCGAGTGGCTCACAATCGGAAGGTTGTTGAGTAAAATTCCTGGTTGGGGGGGGGGGATTGACTCATCCACCGCGCTGCTGCCACGCAGAGAGAGGGGACGGACTCAGAGGCGCCAGGAGGAGGAACCACAGATGAGCGGGGAGGCAGCAGCAGCAGCCACGTGGTGAGCCCACCCAAGCTCTGCGGTCCTCTATATAGTAAGTTGTTCTTGGCCAATTAATGAGTGTTTGCATGCGGGAGGAAACTGGAGCACCCGGATAAAACATACGTGTACGAGTGGAGAAGATGAGGGCCATTGACGATCGTGATGATGGTGACAATCACGACACTGATGATCATGGTGACGATGATGGTGACGATGATGGTGACCCTCTCTCGTGCTTACCGTGCGCTGCGTGGAAGGGCATGGCGTGTGAGGGAGGGGCGATGACCCCACCGCCGCCGCTGCCGTACGAATGCCTCGCGTCCCCGCCGGCGCGCAGCGCGTAAAACCCGGAGCGGACCGCCTGCCACCGGCACTCCGACTCCACGTCGGCCGTCACGCCGGAGGGGGCCGCTGGCACGGCCGCGGTGAGCGCGGCCGCGGCGACCGCGGCGGTGGCGGCGGCGGCGCTGGCGGCCGCGGCTGCCGCCGAGGAGGAGGACGAAGAGGAGGAGGGGCAGTGGTAGCGGCCGTGCTGGCCCAGCGGCCCCCGCAGGGGGCTGGCGTCGTACTGCGGGTAGGAGCCCAGCGCCGGCTCCGACGAAGCGAAGGCCGGGTGCGGGTCCTCGTAGGACAACGAGGAGATGGTGGTGGTGGCGGTGTCGCTGTGGGGACACGGACACACACGCGCGCGGATGAAGATCTCTTGGGGCAAGCAATGTTGACCAACGCGGCGCACGAGGGGGCGGGTGGCCAGCATCGGCGCCCGGCCGCTTTTGTCTCCCCAGTGGCGATGACTACACATCACAGCGGGTACTCGACATGGTTGGGGGAGGCCCAGGACCGGGTTTAGGCCATCGTCACCGGTGTCGCTGGCCGTGAGCGGGAATCTAACTCGGGTTGCCCGGGTTCGTAGCTCAGCACGCTAACCGTTGCACCACCGCTCCCCACACTCACACGCACACATGGCAAAGATCCCCGTATAGCTTCAACAGACTTGGGCAAGTGCTGTTATCGAGCAGCACACACGCACGCACGCACACACACGCGAGCGTTGCTGTGCCACGCCTCTATGTGCCCAGCACTGACCCGCATGGTGCCACGTAACCCCTACGGCCCACACGGTGAAGGGAGGCGTTCATCCAGCAGTGGATCGTACATGGCCGACGACAACGATGCTGATTAATGATGACGATTTTTTTAATTATGTTGATGGCGATCATTCGGATGATGATGACGGTGGCTTAATTACAACGATGATCATCGGGATGATGACAATCATGATGATGATCGTCGCGATGGCGGTGATAGCTATCATCATCGTCATTGAGGAAGATGTTGATGATCATCATTCGGATGATGATGAAGACAATGATGGTGATCATAACGATGAACACATTTATGATTATGGAGGTAATGATGATAATTAATTATTAGGATGATGACGATAATGACCACGATGATCACAGCGATGACGACCACAGCTATCATCACCGTCGTCGTTATCGGTAGGACAGCGTCATCCATAGCACGGCAATTATTGTCGTGGCTAGCGAGCGGGACACTGGCCGTGGTGGTGTGCGGTGCAGGCGTTGGCGTACGGGTGGGACAGCGTGTAGGTGTGCTGCGTGCTGGCATAGGCTGCGTCCCGGAACGGCGTGCCGAGGGGCGGAGGGGACTCGGCGCACGACTGCTCCTCCCACTGGCTCTCGCGGTCCGAGTCACCCCTCTCGGAGTAGAAGGTCGTGTGGTGCGTCTAGAGAGAGACACACACAGATTAAGATCCCCCCGAATAGCCACGCAGAGTGATGCATCCGTGGGTGGCTGAAAGACGCTCCCTGAATGGGTAGCTGAGTCACGAGACTTAAGTGGGTGGATGAGTCACATGAGTTGCCGAGTCACGCATTTGAGTGGGTTGCCGAGCGATGCGTCTGAGCGGGTGGATGAGTCACGCGTCTTGAGTGGGTTCCTGAGTCACGCGTCTTGAGTGGTTTGCCGAGTCACGCGTCTGAGTGGGTGGATGAGTCACATGGGTCGCTGAGTCACGCGAGAAGCAGGAGGAGCTTCGCCCCCACCTGTGGGTAGGGCGACGCGCGGGGCTTGCCCCGGTGCTTGGCGGAGCGCCCCTTGGCCGGCCGCCGGCCCTCGGGCTGCTGCTGCTGCTGCTGCGCGTCGGTGCTGGCCAGCTCGCTTGCCACTTTGCGGGCGTGCATCTGCTCCAGGGAGAGCTGCAGGTCCTTGTACTCCACGTCCCTGCGTGCACACACACAACGTCCCGCGCACCTCCGATTAGCACGGTTGGCTACGCACGGTGCGAACAAACACGTCCCAAATGTCGTCTCGAATCTCAACCCAAACGTTGCTTTACACCGACGATGATGACGGCAATGACGATGATGATGATGACTGACGACAACGATGTTGACTATGACAATGACGACGATGATGACAATGACAATGACGACGATGATGACAATGACGATGGCGACAGTGACGACGATGAAGAAGACAATGACGACGAAACAATGACGTGAATGACTACAATGATGACGGCGACGACGACCAGTCAGGAGCTCACGTGAGGACGTAGTTGACGCTGACGATGCAGTGCGGCCGCGACGAGCGGCTGTTGTGCACGATGGTGGCGCAGCTCTGCATCCACACCCAGCCGCCCCGCTTGGCCAGGAAGCGGTAGTACTTGGTGGTCACCTGGCCCTTCACCAGCACTGAGCACCACGCGGACGGACACGGCACACGCACGCGGTGTCGCGATCATCGTCCAACAGCTCCACCCACGTCACAGCCTCGCCCGCCACGGACACGATCTTGTCGTCTACAAGTAGGGGGGCGGGGGGGGCGATGATTGCTGCTGTGTGGTCCTATAGCCTACGGGCACCCCCGGTGGCAGCTGTCTCTGTGCATTAGGGGCACCCCCAGTGGCAGCTGTCTCTGTGCATTAGTCTACAAGTAGGGGGTGACAATTGCTGCTGCTGTGCGGTCCTATAGCCTAGGGGCACCCCCAGTAGCAGCTGTCCCTGTGCATTAGGGGCATCCCCCAGTGGCAGCTGTCCCCGTGCATTAGGGGCACCCCCAGTCGCAGCTGTCCCCGTGCACGAGCCCGCGGTGCGGTGACTCACGCAGGTGGTGGGCGTAGCGCAGGTGGAACACGTCACAGCCGTGCACGTGGTGGTAGAGCGTCTTCTCGATGAGGTCCTGCGGCTCGTAGCCCGTGAGCGCCGACACCCTGGCAATACAGTGGCGGGTTGCCATCGTCAGTGACGTCATCAACGGCAGTGACGTCATCGTCGACAGTGACAACATCATGACATCAGTACCGATAATAGGAATCTTATCATCATCGGATGCATCGTCATCATCATCCTTGGTAAAAGTATTATCATCATCGTTATCACCATCGTCGTCAGTGGGCATCAACAGCATCAGCAATAATGATTAATAATCGAATCATTACAGTCATGAATAATCTCACCATCATCAATAATCATCTCATCGTCATCAACAGCACCAGCGTCACCAAAGTCATCGCCGTGTGTGCACGAATGGCTTGCCAACATCGTTATCATCATTGTTATCATCATTGTCATCATTGTTATCATCATTGTTATCATGATCGTCATCTTCATCATCAGCGTCACAATTATCAGCAGCAGCAAGGGCAGCCTCAATAATTATCATGCATCGCATGTCATCAGTAATGTCAAAGAGATCTCACCACCACCAATAATATCGCCTTAATTAACAAAATGTCATTAATGAAATGATCCCAGTTGCCACCATTATTATCAACAGTTGCAGTGATTAAATTCGTAATATTAAATGACAACCATAGCAGGGTCTCCAGGTATAGCGATGGCGTGGGGAAGCCGCCATCCAGCAATGGATTGATCATGGTGGATGATGGATAAATTATTTTAAAAAAACTAATACATTTTCCATCATTTGAACTATTAAATGTATCATGACAATTGCATTCATCATCAACAGTAATTCATAACCAATCCTGAACAACGTCATTCACCTTCCATCATCATCTAAATTAACGTTCACCATTAATCAAATCACATCATCGTTCAAATACACCATCGCCTTCAGAATGGCAATTAACTCCTCGTGACTTTGAAAGTACGTATGTTGAACTTCTTTCGCACCAACCGCGCTAATCGGAGGTCTTTCACATGACAGGTAAAGGCGCAGCCCCTGCAATCAGTTGCCGGATTATCCTCGTAGCAAAAGTAGCTACTACACGTGTAGTAGCTACTACTTGTGTAGTAGCTACGGGCCCCGCACTTTCAAGGGCCCCGCGCTAAATACTTTAAAGCTATCAATTCCAGTTCAGTGATTCTGCACTTGCTCTATTACTATAGTACTATACCGCCTTCAACTTTTACGAACGACTGGGTGTTTAAGGTTAGCGATTTGTCGTATTATCTGGCTCTATAGCAAAAAAATATACAATTACTTTACTGTGCAAGTAAAAAAATTAGGTGTTTTAATATGTATGTGTGTTTTTTTAGGGCCCCTTCATAACAAATGCTACAGGCCCTGCACGAGCCTCATCCAGCACTGGCTGCAATGACTCGCCCACTCGACGGAGCTGGACGAGGTCTCCTTCCCCGGGACACACAGCGGGCCTCCTCTTCCACGCTCGCCCGACGTTTCGGAAAAGAGGTCTATAATTGGCGTCGCAAAAAAAGAAAAAAAAACGACCCAAAACGTGCAATTTTAACTATAAATCGGAGGCGACTAGAATTTTAGAAGTTTACCAAACGTCGCAGCCGGCGTCATTTCCACCGCCTCGATTCACCGAGTCACGTCCCGGCAATTAACCGGGCGTGGGTGGCCGCGCGAGCGATGATGAATCGTGCAGCGTTCGAGAGGCTGGCTGACATCACCCCCCCCCCACCACCGATTAGCACGGTTAGGCTACGTACGGTACGAAAAAAGTTCAACATACATGGGCGTCCGTTTACATTGCCGACTGCGCTGCTCTCGACACAGCACAGAGAGGGCGCTTTGAGAGGCTTTGAGTGGCAGGGCAGTTTTGCCCGGTCACTCAAACCCCACGGGGTGGGTTGTGCAACATCGAGCGGCTGACCCTCGTTAAGACGTCAACGTTCGGCGAGCAACGTGGAGCCACGCGCAGCACGCACGGCCATCAACACACACGGCCTGTCACGCCAGCGTCCCACCCCCACCGCGCCACCCACACACGGCTGTGGGGGGGGGGGGGGTACGTGGGGTATGTATTTCTTTATTGTTTAAACTATGCAAGTAAACCCATTGAGACCCACAGGAAATGCATAGAGACCCATAGAGATACATAGAGGCCCATTTAGATACATAGAGACCCATAGGAGATGCATAAAGACCCATAGAGATACATAGAGACCCATATAGGTACATGGACACCCATAGAGATACGTAGATACCCATAGGAGTTACATAGAGACCCATAGAGATGCATTGAGACCCATTGACACTCATAGAGATGCATAGAGACCCATAGAGATACTTTAAAGACAGGCCACAGTAGCAGTGCGACTGTGGCCACGCTACGGACTGCACAGTGAACACCACTGTGGTCGTCTGCGCTCCTTCAACGGAGGAGGTGGAGGAACAGCGACACGACACGAACTCTACTGAAGCCCTCTCGTCGTGATCAGCAGCAGCAGCAGCAGGCCTCAACATTGGCATCGAGCTCCTGAACATCTTTTTGCTGCTGCTGCTGTTGGCACCATGCATGCACGAGTAGGATAGAACATGCCACGTCCCAGCAGCACTAGCGTACAATCATCTTCACCCAGTCGCGTAACCACCACCACCGCTACCCCCATCCCATGCACGATTCTGGATAGTCGAATTGTTTTTGAATGACCCCCCCCCCCCGCCGTGTCGCCTGTAACAGACTGTTGGGGCGAGTGCTGTTCGCGAGTAGCAGCACCTATGAAGGCTGGCACGGCACACGAGGGGGATGGGTTGGCCAGCACTACGCCCAACCGCCTTTGTCTTCCTTGTGGCGTACCAGATACTCATTTGAGTTGACCAAGTCGAGGCCCAGGACCGGTTCGGATAATCGTCGCCGGAGTTGGTGGCCGTGAGCGGGAATCGAACTCGGGTCGCTGGGTTCGTAGCGCAGCATAACGCTGACCGCTGCGCTACAAATCACGCGAAACTCCGCACATCCTCGCCGCATCGCGCGCTTTCAGATGCGCTTCAGCGTCCGTCTGGAACGCTCTTCCTGTCGATATTGGGATGCCACTGGGGAGCGCCGCACTTTTAAATCCTCGAGGTTGAAAATTCGTTTCTTTAGAACCGCTTCGTGGCACAGTTTAGTGTGTTGTCCTTCCCCCGCGCCTCCGCTTAGCGCGGTTGGCTACGCACGGTGTGAAAGAAGTCCACAGACTGTACGTACATACATCCTCCTCCCCACCCCCTGGTACAGACGGACGGACGGAGCGAGACGCATCGGCGCTCCGAGCCCAGTCGTTGGCGAGCGTTGATAAAGTAAAGGGGGGGGGGGGTTGGGGGGGAGAGGTTGTTGAGAGGGGGAACACAAGGAAGCGTTTTCTCATTCCCAGAAACATTTTGGTCGCCGTAGCTTCCTCGCGACACCACCGTGTTTACGTCCTTTTGTTTATTTGGCGGTGCCCGGTTTTTTTTATTTCGCACCGCCCGCCCGCCCGCCCCTTGTTTGTTTTACTCTCCCGTTGGCGAGCGTCAATTCGCTGCCCTGTTTAGTGGCGGTAACATTATCGTCCCCCCCCCTCCATCAAGACGTTCAGCTGATGCGTCGCATCTCGGTCAAACCGCGCGGACTCGCTAATGGCCCGTGCGGGAACGCGCACAGGCGGACAGAGAGGAGGCGCGCACAGGCGGACAGGGAGGAGGCGCGCACAGGTGGGCAGAGAAGAGGCGCACACAGGCGGACAGAGAGGAGGCGCACACAGGCGAACAGGGAGGAGGCGCGCACAGGCGGACAGAGAGGAGGCGCACACAGGCGGACAGAGAGGAGGCGCGCACAGGCGGACAGGGAGGAGGCGCACACAGGCGGACAGGGAGGAGGCGCACACAGGCGGACAGAGAAGAGGCGCACACAGGCGGACAGAGAGGAGGCGCACACAGGCGAACAGGGAGGAGGCGCGCACAGGCGGACAGAGAGGAGGCGCACACAGGCGGACAGAGAGGAGGCGCGCACAGGCGGACAGGGAGGAGGCGCACACAGGCGGACAGGGAGGAGGCGCACACAGGCGGACAGAGAGGAGGCGCACACAGGCGGACAGAGAGGAGGCGCACACAGGCGGACAGGGGAACACAGAGGCAGATCGAGAACCAAATGAATGGAGAAAAAAAGACCAGGCAGACAATTAGATAGACACGCAGACAAATGGACAGGTAGATTGATGATGTTAGTTACCTAGCGAGACAGGCAAACGTATACATAGACAAATAGTCTGACAGACAGACAAATAGCCTGACAGATAGACAAGTAGCCTGGCCTACAACAACAACCGCCAATCGTCACCAAATGGCGGTGAAATCCCCACGGCGCCCGTGCCAGGCTAGGTGCACTTTGAGGCTATCACGTGGTGTTTCGAAGGCTCGCCGCTGGCAGGAAGTCACGGGATAGACCCAGGTGCCACGGGTTTGCAGACTGAGATGACTGGCAGATGCACCACCCGTGCTCCCGACTATACCAACAGACGCACACACACACACTCACAACCGAAACCCTGACCAAATGTTTCAACACATTCGACAATTAACACTGCGGTCTCAAAAGGAGCAATGATATACAATGGGCGACGTTTCGGGCAATGGCCCTTCTTCATGGCAAGAGGGGGGCATTCGCCCAAAGCGTCGCTTTACGATATTCCTTCCAAGGCCACACAGCGTTGTCATTGACGCGGAATGTGTCGAGTTTACATTTTTTTTAATCGTCCGTGCTTATGCGCCACCGCCAACGCAGCCAGGAGGCTGCTCGCGATGTCCCCATCGCCTCCACCCGACACGGCCAAATAACAACCGCGGCCGTCACGTGACGATCGAGCGTGGCCGGTTTGCTACAGCCTCGGCAGCATCACGCGTGGTAGTGCCGGTGGTGGTGGTGGTGCTAGTGGTTGTGGTGCTGGTGGTGGTGCTAGTGGTTGTGGTGCCGGTGGTGGTGGTGCTGGTGGTGGTGGTGCCGGTGGTGGTGGTGCTGGTGGTGGTGGTGCTGGTGGTGGTGCTAGTGGTGGTGGTGCTAGTGGTGGTGGTGGTGCTAGTGGTGGTGCTAGTGGTGGTGGCGGTGCTGGTGGTGCTGCTGGTGGTGCTGCTAGAACATAGATTTTAACAGCTGGGTCTGACGTTTCACTGACAGATTCAGCATTCTCAGGCAGGTGCCAGGTATGGGATCTTGGAAATTTTGAGAGTAAGCAAGGATCACACTCGAAGCTAAAGTGCACGCAGATACACACAAAAGACAAAGATACCCCATGTAGCCTTAACAGACTGTCAGCGAGCACCTTTGAAGGCCGGCACGGCACACGAGGGGGTCGGTTGCCAGCACCACGCCCAGCCGCCTTTGTCTCCCTAGTGCCGATGTTTACATACTGCACCAGGCACTCATATGAGGCCGAGTCGAGCTAGGGGAGGCCCTGAACCGATTCAGATAATCGTCACTCGCGTTGGCAATAAGCAGGAATCGAACTCGGGTTGTCTGGTTCGTAGTGCAGCGTGCTAACCACTACAATACCGCTCCCCAGCAGCACCGCACGCTGTTGGCAGTGGTGCCTTCCTGGACAGCGATCCGTGCAACTTCTTAACAATGGAGAAATCCGATGAGCTATGAAGCTCTTTTTCACACGTGTCCAGTAGGGTCAGCAAGTTTCAGTAGCAGCAGCAGCATCATCATCATCACCGCCAAATGAACCCACGAGAAACCCATAACCACACGAACGCGGCGCTCGCGAGCGCATCAACGAGGGACGACGCGAGCGAGAGCTCGCTCACACCGCCCGCGAGTCGAGCGCTCACCGCGAGTCGAGGAAGATGAGCTTCATGTCGAGCGAGGCACGGAACATGAACATGTTGGTGTGCAGCTTGATCTCGGTGATGGCGCTGGGCGGCAGTGAGTGGCCCACGGCCACCAGGCCGACGTTCTGGTAGCACGCCTCGAACGGAGAGACGTCGAGCGCACACGGACGCACCTTCAGGTAGCCGCTGCAGTGGATCACCTGCCGGGCACGGGGGGGAGGGTAGAGGGGGCAGCGGGCGGAGGAGGAGGAGGAGGGATGAGCGTGTCGGGGCTGCCGTGGCGAGCCGCCAATACGGTAGAAAGCAGGGCTCGAGGTTCAGAGTTCATGCCGATGGCGTTCCGGGGTTTTTTTTCTTTCCAGGGCCGCATTGTCACGATTTGTAATTGTTAAAAACAAAAACATTTGGAAAAAGTGCCGTGGCCTGGCAAGGAAAAGTTTAAAGAGTAATCGGTCAACGTGTCTAGGTGGTGGTTCTTCTTCTTCTCATAGCACGTGGGGTGTGAGAGGGGGACAGGGGAGGGGAATCGAAGGTGAAGGCAACTACAAATTCCCACGTGATGATGATGATAAGCCGCTAAGGGTGAGCTGTCATTTGTGGCCAGGTCGCTTCTGAAAAAGAGCTGTATAGCTCAGTGGGCCTCACCTGTAAACATACTAAATTAATTTTAGTTTACAGCTCGGAGAAATCTCAGTGGGCCTCACCTGTAAACATACTAAATTAGTTTTAGTTTACAGCTCGGAGAAATCTCAGTGGGCCTCACCTGTAAACATACTAAATTAATTTTAGTTTACAGCTCGGAGGAATTTCGCCGGAAGTTGTGGGGGTTCGATCCCAGACCCTGGCGATGCTCCTATTGTATGTCTGGAGTCCGCGTGTTCTCTCTCTCTCTCTCCCCGTGGTGGTCCCAGCGCGGATCTTTCTCCGGGTTCCTCCTCTGGTTTTGCGCACCACCCCACCCCCTGCTCCACATCGAGAGTGAACGCGCGCTCAGATGATCTTGCCGCCACTATCAATCCCCACGTGCGGTGATGCCGACGAGGATGATGTCAAACGCTGCGACGATGAGCTATCATCACGTGTGGCCAAGTCGCTTCCGAACGAGAGCTAAAGAACTAACAGCTCAGTGGGCTTTAATGTGCCTTGAGATTTTACGAGAAGCGCTTCCTAAAATCTGTCATAAGTATTATTTCATATTTATTACAATTATTCTAATTGTTGTTTGGCGACCGTCACCATAACTGTAAGCCGTGCAATCGAGTGTCTCTCCCCGACGGCGGAGACCCGAGGTGCTTTGTCGTATTTTTTGTCTCTCGTCCTTCTCCCCCGCGCCTGCGATGAGTACGGCCGGCCACGTGCGGCGCGAAAGAAGGATGCAGCGTGCGGTTACGTCACCAGGAGCCGGATAGACCAAGTGGCTCTGCCCGACGGAGGTGACCGGCAACAACAACAACAACAACAACGTGCGCCGGTGACCGCTCACAACAGCGGCCCCTTCGGGGTTTGTTCACCTTGTATCCTCCGCACGTGAGCCCCGCGTTCCGCTTGGCCAGGACGCATTTCATGCGCAGGAAAAACGATCGCTCGATCTCCAGCTCCGCTGGAGGAGGACGGAGAGGGGTGGTGGGTGGGGGGGAGGGAACGGAGAGGGGCGTGTGAGCAACTGGTAAAGGCGCAGCCCCTGCAACTGCCTGCCCATGCCCCCCGCCGCCGCCGCCGCCACCACCGCCCCCCAGCTGGCCTGGGTCGAGCTCTCAAGAGAGGGCCCCCCCCCTCCGTCTCTCCGTCTAGAGACGGCCCGAGGAAAGTGTTCGTCCAGCAGTGGATCGATCGTGGCTGACGATGAAGATCGACGTACCGTGACTAATAATAATAATTAGTTGTAAAAAAACACGATTGATTTGATGCCATCATCACATAAATTAACATCAAATAGTACTTAATGTAAATAATTAATAAATAATGATCACCCTCATTCACTTGAGGGTTTAATCAAATCGCATCATCACCATTCAAATACAAATATCGTCTTTAGAATGATAAGTAACTGCTAACGTCTTCCGCAAAATTGGTAAAGGCACAGCCCTGCTATTGCCCGCTCACGTCACCACTGTCGGAAGAGCCTTCCACTGGAGGAACTCTGGAGATGCCCGCTGCTGGGTACTTGGCTTTCTCTTCCCTGCCAGCAAGACGTCTTGGAGAAGGCGACAGTACCCACACTTCACCCCACGGCGCGCGATCCGACGCACACCACGAGCGACCCCGTTTCGACTGCCACACCCGGGAGATGGAACCAGGGGGGAATTGTGTCTCCAGCGTACTGCACAGCGCCACCAACCCCGGCCACCCGAGTTCGACTCTCGCTCGCGGCCGACGACGGACATCTGAAGCGGTCTCGGGGCATCCGCTAGCCCCACTTGGCCTCGATCGGCTACCTGGCGCGGTGTCTAAGACATCAGCACCGGGGTGAAGAAGGCGGTCGAGGGAGCGGCGTGTGACCCAATGCCAACCGAAATCGTCCGGCTGGGTGCTCGCGAGCCCCCAGCACTTGCCCCCATCGGTCTGTTGAGGCTACGCGGGGGGAGCGGGGGGCAGCTTTGTCCCGCCGACGCCCTCTCACCTTGCACGAAGTTGGAGTGGAAGGGCTGGTGGAAGGTCAGCACGGCCGTCATCTCGTCGTGATCGGCCGGGTGGATGTACTCAAAAATACTGTTCCCTGTCAATTCTACCTACACACACAGAGCGGGGCGGGCGGGTGGCACGGTCAGAGGCGGCGGTGGCGGAGCGTGCAGGCGGTGCAACTGCACCCGGGGACCCATGGGACAGAGCCCCCCCCCGGGACGGAACCCCCCAGACCCCCCGCCCCCAATCCCAGAGCCCCACTCCCACCAAATTCACCCGCTGGGTCACCGACACCGCACACCTGGATGCCACCGACGTGACGCAGAGAGACAGAGACATGGAGAGAGATGTACACACAGGTTAGACAAACAGGCAGAGAGACGGAGGGATTAGCAGAGAATCGGACAGGCAGGTTAATATACAGACAGACAGGTGGATAGACAGAGAGGCAGGCGGATATAGAGACAGATATACAGGCCTGTGAAAAGATGGACAGGCAGGCGCAGATGGATAGATAGAGACAGGCACACAAGCGAGCAGACTGACAGGCAGATTATCAGGTAGACACAAATGAACTGACAGGCAGAGAGGCAGAGAGGGAGAGAGACGCGATCGCGTGAAGACGCACCGCAGGTACCGGGACCGAGGCACTGGAGGGACGCGGACAAGCCGGGCGAGGCAACGCGTTGACGCGCGAGTGTTTTATTGGGGATGTGAGCCGGGTCCCCTGGCGTTCTGGGCGACGGCGAATGGACGACGCGGAGCATCTTACCTGAGAGAGGCCCAGGTGGACCGATGCCGTCTCCGAGATGTACATGATCTTGCCGTCCGGAGCCACCACGAATATGAATCCGTCCAGCGTCTGTCCCCCAACGAGACGCACGAGAGCATTTGCCACCCGCGCGGTGTCCGTTTACACGAAGTGAGTGAAACTCGCGTGCGTGCGCACCTAGCCTGGCACAAGCGCCGTGGCGGCCGCGTCACGGACACTTAAATGGCAAGCGGCGGTTGTTGTTGTCACCCTACCGGTCAGCCACCCCGGTGCCAACTCTCCCCTGGTCTTTGAGCCCTCTATAATTTTTTTTTTAAAATTCATTAGCGTCGTCATCCTCGCCGTTCGTGCAAATTGCATCTCTCGCTCTCGCGCTCGCCGGAGCGGCTGCAGCAGCAGCAGCCGCGAGGTGGTGGAGAGTCGACGCCACTAACAATTGCCCCAAAGCTCTGGAATTCTCCCTTTGTGAAGATGCTTTCAGCCAACTCGCGAGCGTTTATGGTATATACTTGTGCGGTGCGAGACAGCCCACGCGCACGAGGGAGGGAAAATCATGGGCAGGAATCCCATCGGATCTACGAGTGGGATGCATTCTTCAAAAAAGCGCGCGTGAAAAACGAAATTTCGTAAATTTTTAAACGGCTTTCCCCATTAATTTAATGCTATCAATTAAGGATTTTTTTCCGGTCATTCAAACTCTACTCCTAACCTAAGAATAAAATACAATCTATCCCGTATCACTTTTCACACACGAAAAAAACAAAAATTATGAACCTAAATGTTAAAACGATTGATTCATAATTTACAACAAAAAAGTCATTAAACCTTTTTCAGAGAATTCACCAAAAGATCTGCTGGCATGTCGGACTGACTGGCCAGGGGATGCTGGAGGTGCCCGTAGGGACACCGCGACGCTGTCATGGATGGATGACGACCCAGCCTGCCTTCACGCTTGACGACCTCGCAGGGTGCGCGCAAAGGGTCCGTGGAGCCGAACGAAATTATTCAATTGGCAATTTACGTTTGAATAGTGGAGGGACGCTACTACCTGTTACCAACACGCTACCTACTACCTGTTACCCACACGCTACTTACTACCTGTTACCCACACGCTACCTACTACCTGTTACCCACACGCTACCTACTACCTGTTACCCACACGCTACTTACTACCTGTTACCCACACGCTACCTACTACCTGTTACCCACACGCTACTTACTACCTGTTACCCACACGCTACTTACTACCTGTTACCCACACGCTACTTACTACCTGTTACCCACACGCCTCAGCGGTAGCACGTCCGCCCCCTTTCTTTTGCGGAGCTTCCAGATTCCTCGTCAGCAACAACACCATCAGCACCACCTGTGGTGGTGGTGCAGCTACAAGCAGCTACAAACCCCTCCTCTGCATCAGATGCTGGAGGGGTTTACGACACAACGTTTTACTCACGCGGTGAACCGGCACCCCCCACCCCCCCGGCACCGCCTGCCCGCCCGTGAATTGTTACACTTTCGTAATTGGTTAGGATCTACATTACACGAGACACGCTTACATCGGTATCATTCACTTCACCTTTACTCCGGTAAATTGTAACGTGAGTGCGTTCCTGGCCACCTCTCATTGCTTTTGTTTGTTTTGTTTCACGGTGCGTGAGTGTCTGTGTGTGCGCGTGCGTGCGCGTGTCTGTGTGCGTGTGCGTGCGTGTGTGTGTGCGCGTGCGTTGACCTGCAGCAGATGTGAACCCAGCTCTCGGCCCACATTGTCAAGGGCACTGCTCCGGGCAGTATGACCCCACGCCTCGCCCAGACCTGACAGCGCACACACACAAAAACAAATACAACGGTAAGGATCCCCCGTGTAGCTTCAACAGACTGTCGGGGCAAGGGCTGTTAGCGAGCAGCACCTATGAAGGCCGGCACGGCACACGAGGGGGTGTGTGGCCAACACCCCGCCCGGCCGCCTTTGTCGCCCTCGTGACGATGGTTACTACACACCGCACCAGGTACTCAGGACTGGTTCAGATAATCGTCATTGGTGTTGGCCGTGAGCGGGAATCGACCTCGGGTGGCCGGGTTCGTAGCACAGAACACTGACCTGCTACACTACCGCTCCCCATACACACACACAGACACACACACAAAGACAAAGATCCCCCATGTAGCCTTCTTTTATTATTGCCCCAAAAGAAAAAAAGAAATTGGGAGTTGTGGGGAGGGGGCGGGGAATAATAAAATATGGCTACATGTGAGAGAAAGGGTGCACGCAAGTGGACATCACAGAGCAAAATCTGAGACGTCACTTCTTCAGGTCACACCTTAGGTCCATATGTGTTGTAGGGTAGAGGGTGGCACACCTTCTACACGCGCTCTGCATATGAGAGCAATGGTTTCACTCTCAAGAGCTGCCATTCGGCCACATTAAGCACAAAAAACATATTCACAACTCACTGCGCTTTAGACCCCGGTTTAAAATCACAGGTGGCTTCCTGGATTCGAACCCAAGGCCTACAGTGGTGCGAACCCTGCGCTCTGGTTTCCGAGCTGCGTGGTCACCTCGCGTTAGTCCACGCAGGCTGGGAGCGGGCAGACTGCGCAGGTCGGCACAGCGCACAAAGGAGTGGTTGTGGCTCGCAAACCACGACCTGGAAGCCGGTGTCTTCCAAATCCTGATGTCCACATACCACACGATGTACTCATTGAAGGCTGAGTCGACCCCGGGGAGGCACTGAGCCAATTCGGATTTCACCCGACATTGACGCTGGCTGTGACCGGGTATAAAACTTGGGTCACCGGGTTCGTAGTGCAGCGAGCTAACCACTATGCTACCGATCTCCACACATGTACGTACACGCGGCGGGCTCGTACACGAATGCAAAGACAAGACAAAGATCCTCTGTATAGCCTTAACAGACTGTTGGGGCAAGTGCTGTTAGCAAGTAGCAACCCATATGAAGGCTGGCACGGCACGCGAGGCGGTTGGTGGCCAGCACCACGCCCGGCCGCATTTGTGTCGAAAGCCTCAAAGTGCACGTAGCCTGGCACAAGCGCCGTGGTGATGTCACCATCGTTGTTGACCAGATTTGTGTAACTTGACTGACACGGGGCATATGTTTGGTGTGCGTTGTCTTACTGTCCGGAGTGTCTTATAATCCGGAGATGATATATTGTTAGGCCACCCCATACCCCTGATCATAGGGGAGGATTGTTTGACCATACTTCACCACGCTGGTCAGTGCGGGTTTGTGAATGGTGAATTTGGTGGGGGGGGGAGGGGGGCAGCACTAAGATTATTTTTGTATGCGCAGTCCTTGCAATTGCCGGCTCAATCCACTGCTGGCGGGAGGCCCCAGAGATCCCTCGCTCGAGAGCGATTTTCCAGAGATCCCTCGCTCGACACAAACCAAGGTGCCTCCTCGTCCACGCTCAGCAGAATATCTCGGTAGGTGGGTAACCCCCCCCAACCCCCAACACACTTTAGCCCACCCTGTACACGACGTGCCGACAATCAGTCCCGCTTACTGCGGAAGTGGACAGAGGCAGGAGTGGGGGCGGGGGTAGAGGGGTGTGGGTATAGGGTGGCAGGGGAGTAGAGCTGTGTGGGGGGGGGGGGGGCATTGAAGCAACTTCCAAGAGCGTTCTTTCTTTCAAACCCTGCCCGCTCAGCGGATCTCGAACCGCGTGGAGCGAAGTTCCCCGCGCCCAAACTCCGTAGCGCCACCAGAAGCCGCGGGCGGCACTTGATGGTTACGTAATGGGTGTGGAGCGGGTTAGACCGGGGGGGGGAGAGGAGGGAGCGATGGGGCGAGGCAGGAGGAGGAGACACGCAACGAAGGGACAGGATGGGCGAGTGGGGGCACATGAGCCCGCATACTGATGCAGAGATTACTGGCGAGGGAAAGTCATTAAGCGGTGTGGTCAGGCAGTTTGCAAGCATCGGCCGCTAAACAATAAATCTTAGGGGATGCGCGCCACTGTGACTTCTCCCTCGACGACAACAACCGCCGTTCGCCACCAAGTGGCGGTGACGTCACCGCGGCGCTTGTGCCAGGCTAGGTGCACGTTGAGGCCACGTGGAAGTGCCGAACGCCCGCCGGCAGGAGGTCGCGGGGCAGACCCAGCAGGTGCCCGTGGATCGACTGACCGAGATGAGTGGCCAATGCACCACCACCTGCGGCCTCTACTGTGCCAACTTGCTGTGCTTTAGCCACCCGGTGCTCTGCTCGTTGTTCTGAGCGTCGCTGCTCTTGATGCAATGCACGTGACACCAACAACACCAAATCGCACCGTTTGTGTGGGGTGCGACGTTTCGGGCAATGGACCCTTCATGGCATCGCTGCCAATGCAAGTTTAGGTCAATACGTGGTGCCCGAAACATCGTGGCCTTAATTTAAATAAATAAATATGATGAACAACTAAGCACCCGTCCACAGCACGCGTGTTCATGTGCATGCACCAAGTTGTACTTGTCAATCCACTGCTGGATGAGGGCCTCCCCACGCCTGCCTGTTGCTGGTCGTGAGGGTTATTGGGCCACACTTCAACGCGTCGATGACCGGCGCGGGTTGGTCGCGCAAGGCGAGGGGGCATAGCTGTGGAAGCATAGAAGTGCAGTGCAACACTGGATTGGTCCGCACTGGCCTCTGAATACCTTTGCATTCGTACACAAATTCACTTGCACGATATAAAAAGACAAAGGTCCCCCGTATAGCCTTAACAGACTGATTGGGCAAACGCCTATGAATGTCGGCACGGGTGGCCAGCAATGCTGAGCTCTACACACCGTACCAGGTACTCAGTTCAGGTTGAATCGACCTTTAGATAATCGTGACCTGGTGTTGACCGTGAGCGGGAATCGAACTCGGGTGGCTAAGTTCGTAGCGCGGTGCGCAAATCACTGCGCCACCACTCCCCATACTCAAGACAAAGAACCCAAGTACAGTATAGCCTTAGCAGACTGTAGGGGCAAGAACACCTATGAAGGCCGGTACGGCACACAAGGGAGTGGGTGGTTAGCACCACGCCCGGTCGCCTTTGTCTCCCCAGGGGCGATGTTTACACACCGCACCGGGTACTCAATTGGAGGCTGAGTCGACCCAGGGGAGGCCCAGTACCGGTTCAGATAATATAATCGTCACCGGTATTGCCCGTGAGCGGGAATCGAACCCGTGTCGCCGGGTTTATAGCGCAGCGCGCTCACCGCTACACCACCGCTCCCCACTACACACACACACAGAGACACACACACAGAGACACACACACAGAGACACACACGCACAGACACACACGCACAGACACACACGCACAGACACACACACACAGACACACACGCACAGACACACACGCACAGACACACACGCACAGACACACAGACACACACGCGCACAGATACACACACACAGACACACACAGACACACATACACAGACACACACACGCGCGCGCGCGTTCATCAAGGAGGAAACAGGTACGCGGCGCGCTTTGCTCATTGCATTTAAATGAGAGCTGGGGGTGACCGCCTGTGGCCAAGGCGTGAACGTGCGCGGGCGCGACTCGGCGTCTCCCCCCGCCCACCCCGCCGTCTCGACGCGGGCCCGGGGTAAGTACGGAGGGGAGGAGAGCGAGCGAGAAAGAGAGAGATCGAGAGGGAGAGATGAGGGGGTAGGGCGGGTAGGAGAACATCGGGGTAATCATCACATCAGCATTCTGCGCCACGTGGAGGCGAGTGCTCTACACGTGTAATATTAGAGGGGGAGGGGGGGGGGGTGGATATTTGACACACATACATATACACACGGATATTGCATGCATAGAGAGGAGAGAGAGCGATGGAGACTCTTACAATACGTGTACACAAATAGAATAAAAACACCACTCCCGTCACCAGCCATACGTACGTATGGGGTCTTTGCTGGGAGCAAGTGCTGTTAGCGAGCACCCATTAAGGCAAGAGGGAAGCCCTACGGGTGCGTATGGTATCGTGACATCCACAGAGAGATACAAAGATAAAGATCCCCCGTATAGCCTTAGCAGACTGTTGGGGAAAGCGCTGTTAGCGAGCACTTATCAGGGCCTGAACGGTACACGAGGGGGCGGGTGGCCAGCACCACGGCCGACCGCCTTTGTCTCCCCAGTGGTGATGTTTACACACCGCCACCAGGTACTCGTATGAGGCTGAGTCGACCTAGGAGAAGCCCAGGACCGGTTCAGATAATCGTTACTGGTGTTGGCCGTGAGCGGGTTCGTAGCGCAGCGCGCTAACCGCTCCACCACCGCTCTTCAAGAGCTCCCCCCCCTACGCACACACTACACAACACACACACTACACAACACACTACACAACATGCACACACTACACAACACACACACTACACAACACACACACTGCACAACACGCACACACTACACAACACACACACAACACACTACACAACACGCACACACTACACAACACACACACTACACAACACGCACACACAACACACACACTACACAACACGCACACACACACTACACTACACAACACACACACTACACAACACACACACTACACAACACACACACCACACAACACGCACACACTACACAACACGCACACACTACACAACACGCACACACTACACAACACATACACTACACAACACGCACACACTACACAACACATACACTACACAACACGCACACACTACACAACACGCACACACTACACAACACACACACTACACAACACACACACTACACAACACACACACACTACACAACACGCACACTACACAACACGCACACTACACAACACGCACACACTACACAACA